ATCACCAAAAGGTCTAAATGCCATGATCTTTTGCAACGATGTATAACAAGCACAATATTATGCAGTGATGCAATGGCAACTCTGTTGTATCCATATGTCCAGAGGTGGCCCACTTGAAAGTTGGCCAAAAAAAATTTTTGTGCAAAACTAGCCAACTTTCAAGGCAAAATATCTCAATATGCATCATTCCCAATTTGGTTTTGAATGACACCATTGGATAGGGCCGATTTTTTTGTACAGGAGTAACTTTTATTTAGGTTGGGATCTGAATTCCTAGTTCAGCCAGAGGACTCTGAAAATGACATACCTTGGTGCGATATAAAAAAAATAAAATTATGATTCTCCGTCTTTTGTGCACTGATCATGACTGCTGGCAAATTGATATCCAAACTGATTGGAAAAAATTTAAGCTTCATTGGGTAGAACATTTTTGGGTGGAATTCAGAATTATTATTAAACAATCAGTGCTATTTTAGGTTCCTGTTCTATATTTATCTTTACATCTTTGTAGTATCGTGTCAGCAAGTCAAATAGTGCTGTTTACTTATTTATGTATTTACTTGCAATAAATTTGCGACCAATCACAGTAGCTACTGCAGAGAAAATGTCAGATATGCTGAAAGTTAGTATTAAGCCTGGCCAAAAGTTGTGCACATCATGCAGAAAGGAATTCGACAGTAAGCAGGTGAGTGAGTCCAGCTCTACTGAATTTGATGGCCCTGCTGATGATATGGAAATCTGTGAAAGTGTAAACACAAGTTTATCAGTATTAGGCATCTTACCTATTAAATATCAAAAAGTTAGTGCAAGGGATAAGCATGGTTATGCAAAGCGTAAGATTAGCCAAGTACAGGAAATAATTGCAGAGCACATTGCTGCAATTGGAAATATTGATTGCCAAAACCTGTTGGTACCAAGCTCTAGCCAACAGTGCACAAATTACCAAGACTTCAATAAACTCATTGAAGAAATGAAGCTAAAATTCCATGTAGCAAAGTGCCAAGAAAAAATACAAATCCTAACCCTCGTGCCACAAAGCTGCTCTATCAAAAAGACAATGGAGCAATTCAAAGTTTCAAAATATATGGTTTGCGAAGCTAGGGAGCTGAAAGAAGAACAGGGAATACTAGCAATTCCTAAGAAAATGCAGGGCAAGTCAGTTCTTGAGGAAGTGAAGGAAAGGGTAGTACAGTTTTTTGAGGGTGAAGAATTTAGTCAAATGTGTCCCGGAAAGAATGGAAAGAAAAAAGTCATGATTAGTGCACAAAGAAGATGGAGAATTATAATTAAATTTTTTTGATATCACACCAAGGTATATCATTTACAGAGTCCTTTGGCTGAACTAGGAATTCAGATCCCAACCAAAATAAGTCACTCTTGTACAGAAAAATCTGCTCTATTCAATGGTGTCGTTCAAAACCAAATTGGGAATGATGCATATTGAGATATTTTGCCTTGAAAGTTGGCTAGTTTTGCACATACATTTTTTTGGGGCAACTTTCAAGTGGGCCACCTCATATGGATACAAGAGAGTTATTATTGCATCACTGCATAATATTGTGCTTGTTATACATCGTTGCAAAAGATCATGGCGTTTAGACCTTTTGGTGATGAGTAAGTGGTCTTCAAACTGGGGTCCAAATTTCTCCACCTCTTCTCCTTCTCACCGTCTTCCATACGCTAACAAGTCATCAATAAAGGTAAGATATAACTTGTACATACTGTAGTACAAAATATTTGTAGCATTATGTATGAAATGTATTTTGAAGTTAATATTTTTGGGAGTGTGAAATGGATTAAGTTAATTTACATTATTTCTTACGGAAAAATTTATTTCGGTTTAAGAATTTTTTGTTTACGAACCGTCTCTGGTAACGGATTAAATTTGAAAACGGAGGTACCACAGTATATGGACGAGTTTGGGTCAATATAAATAGGAACTATGTTGAATGTGCCAATAGTCCTTCCTTAGTTCTTATTGATACATGCATATATACATACATACATTCATTCATTGATATATTCATTGTAGGCCTAAATACATTATCCTTCGTTAGTAATGTATTCGATTCATGTTTTTGCAAATTACATGTACATACATCTTGTTATTTAACACTTTCGCGCTTTAGATTAGAGATAACTCCTCGCCGTTTTTTCTTACGATTCCGCATAACAGCATACTTTTCTCGTCCATCGAAAAAATATTTCTATAAATTCCATTTTTTAACCGAAATGGATGGGGATACTTTTGTTTTGTAGAGAATTTATTTGCGAATCTTTTTGTACCAGAATGAATATTATATCACAAACTTCTATGAGTAAAAAAAAAAAATACACAAAGTATGTTTGGGGGTGTGGCGAGCGTGTGGCAGTGGGTTCCCTTTAGCCGTTGATATATCCAATACGTGGGAAATATTTGTATGTGTTATGTATATGTCTGTGTAGGGAATTTTACTGCGATCACTGTCATACAAATTATAAAATGTTTCAACAAGTATAAACATGACAAACATCAAACGAACGAAAACAATGCGTTCGTTTCTGCCGCGAACGCATACTGAGCGACGTGGTTCTATATTTGGCGCTTCTCTTACACATGCTTTGTACAAATGTTATACAGTTCATCTTATAGAAAATTTTATTGCGAACACATTGGTATAAAAAAGAAATACATACATAGAAAAGTAGGGTCAGGAAACGTATAAACTTTCCAAGCATGATTTCCCCCGTGTTTTCGCCAGTGCGCTCGCGGCTAACTACTCTCCACTTCACACACTCTTGCGGGTGGGCAATTACCTATATTAAACATTCATATGCATATGTCCGTGTAGAGAATTTTATTGCGATTCCAATGATACCAAAATTAGCGATGTAGGACAACTGTAGGCTTCGCAACCATTAAGAGAGTGGAAACATTTTGTTGCTGTTTGGCGCTCTCGGCGAGTGATCTGCATAGTTTTTTATTTGGTGTTGATACTCCTTATGCTTGGGCGGCATTTTATTGGTATGCTCTTATAGACAATTTCATTGCGAACACAGTGATACCAAATTTAAATACGTGCGCCTTCAATTATTGTCAGGACAGTCAAAAGAGTGTACACTTTTTCGGTCTTACCGCGTAGGCGCGCGAAGTGCCGAAAGCATCTGGGGTATTGTTTTTTTTTGAGCGCCGAGAGCGCGAAAGTGTTAATACAAATATTATAATGCATGAACTAAAGAGTGAAGAAACGATTGTAGAAACAACCCAAGTCAACACCTGAGCATTCTGCCACATGGTGGTGTCGGCAAGCTGAGAGGTCTGGCACCGACGGACTTGGCTCACCCCACCACCCACCAACTTTCTACGACTCACCTAACCAGTAAATATGTAGATATTTATGTTGTTTCAACTTTTCCTTACACTCTGCATAGAAATTAATCATTCTAAATGGAATTTTTTGTTTTTATTTTTATTTTTTTTGGATATGCATGAATAACCATAGCTGCACTTAAAGAGTTAAGGGTTAGGTGAGGAACTTCTAGGTCTGGTTGTAAAGTCTCAAAGCTTTGCTTCTGCAGATACCAAGACTGAACACCTGCAATATTTTGCTCAAAATAGAACCCATAGCTTGTATTATACAAAAATATGTAGCATCCATACATACCTGTCTTTTTATATAATATATATATATACATATATATATATATATATATATATATATATATATATATATATATATATATATATATATATATATATATATATATATATATATATATATATAGATATATATATATATATATATATATATATATATATATATATATATATATATATATATATATATATATATATATATTATATATATATATATATATTATATATATATATATTATAATTTTTTGCAATCTTATTTAGAATTATATTTGAGAGAATTTAGAATATCTTTATTAAAAATATAACATTAATGAACCATTAGAGATCATTATATTTTATAACCAGTTTCAACAACAATTTCTCAGTATGGTGCCCTAGATGTGCAACTAATGTGCAACATTAACTAATGAGCAACACAACCTTTCTTCTGCTTCAACAATATTTCACAAGACATCAAAATGCCTTATTGAAACATGTGACAGAAAGTGAAGATAAACAATACTGTACAGTACTTTAAAATGCAACCCAGACTGCACAGTCTCAGGTTACATATACTTTCAACTTTAAGAGATTCAGTCCTGGCACCTGCTTGTGATCCTCACCCAGAAGCTTTGGAACTTCTATTAACCACGTACTGCTTTACATTCATCTTTTATGATAAACAACTCATGCTGGTTTTACAGAGAAATTAAATGAGTTCATAAACTTGGGGAATAATGTGTTAATATGCAATCAATACCTCAAATCTAACTTCTCGTCTATACACACAAACTGCTATGTTAATCATGTATTCTGAATACTTATCCTAATGGACAGGGACATCGATAACTGGGTAACATTTACAGCCACGGAAATTCGTTTTTGAGTGTTGTAACACATGAACTAGATAACCCTCTTTCTGCATCTTAACTACAGATGCCTGAGAACGATGGAAGTTGAGCAGTTTATTCTTAACCTAGTGCTTATGAGAGAATAATTGCATTTCCTTATCCAAACTGGCATATTACCATAAGAGTAGGTCTTCCCTTCTCTTATGAGTAATGTACTGAATACTCTTTGAACTTTTGATTTTGATATGAACAAAGGTATGCGTGTATATGCATAAATAATTTTGCATGTGTATATGTACCGGTATATTATTAAATTATAGCTACTTATTCTTGAACTGGAACAAAGTATTTTTTATCTTGTAAATATCATAAAGTAAATAAAAAATATTCTAATTTTAATTCAAAATATATTAAACTGAAAACAAATAATCTTCATTCTTCATCAATTTACACAGCAATACTATTTATTTGGATATTTACATACTGTACTATATGTCCATTTCTGTTATGTTTAATTAAAAAAAATAGCTTGGTGGATTCATTCAGTATTGTTTACTAACATTGCCAACATAAATGCACCAACGAAACATTCTGCATGTGTTCATCATTTGGATGCCGAAAACAGATTACCACTGCTTCAAGAAAGTATACTTCAAGCTGTACACTGCTTCAAGAAAGTACACTTCAAGCTGTACACTGCTTCAAGAAAGTACACTTCAAGCTGTACACTGCTTCAAGAAAGTACACTTCAAGCTGTACACTGCTTCAAGAAAGTACACTTCAAGCTGTACACTGCTTCAAGAAAGTACACTTCAAGCTGTACCCTGCTTCATGAAAGTACACTTCAAGCTGTACACTGCTTCAAGAAAGTACTTTCAAGCTGTACACTGCTTCAAGAAAGTATTTTCAAGCTGTACACTGCTTCAAGAAAGTACACTTCAAGCTGTACACTGCTTCAAGAAAGTACTTTCAAGCTGTACACTGCTTCAAGTATACTTCAAGCTGTACCCTGCTTCAAGAAAGTACACTGCTTCAAAAAAATGTGACTCATACATCACATATATGCTTTTATCAACCACTACAAAAGGCATTTCAAAATGAAAGGCTACTGCTTACACAGGTCTTTTGATATGAGAGCCCTGGCACATAAATGCTGATAATACATCATTATTCAAAAGAAAGCAAAATATGAGAATGGTAAAGTTCAATACAAATCAAAACTTGCATGAAAATGTTGGCTACAAGATTTCATCCATGTAGGGAATATGACTTATTGGTTACAATGAGATATCATCCATGTAGGGAATATGACTTATTGGTTACGATATATCATCCATGTAGGGAATATGACTTATTGGTTATAACAAGATATCATCCATGTAGGGGAATATGACCTATTATTGGCTACAACAACATATTCCCTACATGAATGATATGAGTTATTGCTTACAGGATATCATTCATGTAGGAAGACATTGGCTACAACAAGATATTATCCATATAGGAAATATGACTTTTTGGCTACAACAAGATATCATCCATGTATGAATGTGTGGCTACAATAAGATATCATCCATGTGGAGAATATGACTCATTGGCTACAACAAGATATTATCCATGTAAGGAATATGACTCATTGGCTACAATAAGATATCATCAATGTAGAGAATATGACTTATTGGCTACAACAAGATATCATCAATGTAGAGAATATGACTTACTGGCTACAAGATATCATCCATGTAGAGAATATGACCTATTGACTACAACAAGATATTATTCATGTAAGGAATACGACTTATTGACTACAACAAGATATCATCAATGTGCCATACAGAATATGAATTAACAACTGCATCCAGTAACTGTTTTGTTAATAAATGTAAATTAATAGCTGACAAATCCTTATTATATAGTTTGGCTGTCAAGAATAAGATGCTAAGCCATACATTTCTAGTGATTTGTGCGCATCTTGCACAATAGGACAGTAATTAAGCTTACGAGGCAGGACCCGAACATCAGCACTGGACTAGACACCACACATGCTTGGTTTGCTCTTCCTTCTTCATCACTAGACTCATCTACTTCTAGGATGATTTTGTCTGCCATTTTGTAGCACTTAACTTTCCCATCTTCACTTTTATTTTCAGATGACTTTTTGGTTTTCTTCTGACAAATCATGGAAGAGCATTCATATAGCTGTTTAGGTCACCCTTCACTTCCTAAAATACACAAACATGGAATTAATTTAAGGTTGGATGTGAGGAGGCCTAAACTAAGTATTTTTCCCAACCATTTGCCTGCAGACCAATAACTGATCTGTCATATAAAATGCTATACCATCTATTTCTACAAACTCACTGACATGATAGATTATTTTTTTAACCCCTTAACTGCGTTGCCTCCAAATGTGACACCCCCGCAGTGCGCAGGAAATAAATTCTCTGGAAAAAATTCTTTTTTCTTTTTAAAGTGTCAAAAACCCTTCTCTCAGTATGGGTATGTAAAAAAAAAGTCGAAATTGTACTTACTTTGGCTGCTATGGGGTCCGGAAGTTGGGGCGTGACGTCATCGTTCCCCGTGCGCCCGTGCCGTAAGCTCTCGGTGGCGGTGGGGCGCTCGGGGCGGGGCGCGCGAGTTGCCGCGAATATATTTTCGTTCATTTTTTGCGCACCTTTCCAAATACATTTTCATTGTTTTTATGTGCCAATCCAATGTATAATGAACACGTACACTATAATATCGCAGTACAACATCCGTACTATCCGTAGACACTGTGTTACGTGCATGAAACTTGTGTACACATATGCAGCACATATTTACTATGTATCATGCTAATTTGTGTATATATACAATCTATTTACACACTATACACTGTCACACACTATATACATTCACCATCAACACATTCAGAACACCGTGTAGCAGCTGCTTCGTATGGGCCAATAGCAGCTGCCTCGTATGGGCCAATATCAGCCTCGTATGGGCCAATATCAGCTGCCTCGTATGGGCCAGTAGCAGCTGCCTCGTATGGGCCAACAGCAGCTGCCTCGTATGGGCCAACAGCAGCTGCCTTGTATGGGCCAACAGCAGCTGCCTCGTATGGGCCAACAGCAGCTGCCTCGTATGGGCCAACAGCAGCTGCCTCGTATGGGCCAACAGCAGCTGCCTCGTATGGGCCAATAGCAGCTGCCTCGTATGGGCCAATAGCAGCTGCCCCGTATGGGCCAATAGCAGCTGCCGCGTATGGGCCAATAGCAGCTGCCTCGTATGGGCCAATAGCAGCTGCCTCGTATGGGCCAATAGCAGCTGCCTCGTATGGGCCAATAGCAGCTGCCTCGTATGGGCCAATAGCAGCTGCCTCGTATGGGCCAATAGCAGCTACCTCGTATGGGCCAATAGCAGCTACCTCGTATGGGCCAATAGCAGCTACCCCGTATGGGCCAATAGCAGCTGCCTTGTATGGGCCAATAACAGCTGCCCCGTATGGGCCAATAGCAGCTGCCGCGTATGGGCCAATAGCAGCTGCCGCGTATGGGCCAATAGCAGCTGCCTCGTATGGGCCAATAGCAGCTGCCTCGTATGGGCCAATTGCAGCTGCCTCGTATGGGCCAACAGCAGCTGCCTCGTATGGGCCAATAACAGCTGCCCCGTATGGGCCAATAGCAGCTGCCGCGTATGGGCCAATAGCAGCTGCCTCGTATGGGCCAATAGCAGCTGCCTCGTATGGGCCAATTGCAGCTGCCTCGTATGGGCCAATAGCAGCTGCCTCGTATGGGCCAATAGCAGCTACCTCGTATGGGCCAATAGCAGCTACCCCGTATGGGCCAATAGCAGCTACCTCGTATGGGCCAGTAGCAGCTGCCTCGTATGGGCCAACAGCAGCTGCCTCGTATGGGCCAACAGCAGCTGCCTCGTATGGGCCAACAGCAGCTGCCTCGTATGGGCCAACAGCAGCTGCCTCGTATGGGCCAATAGCAGCTGCCTCGTATGGGCCAATAGCAGCTGCCCCGTATGGGCCAATAGCAGCTGCCGCGTATGGGCCAATAGCAGCTGCCTCGTATGGGCCAATAGCAGCTGCCTCGTATGGGCCAATAGCAGCTGCCTCGTATGGGCCAATAGCAGCTGCCTCATATGGGCCAATAGCAGCTGCCTCGTATGGGCCAATAGGAGCACTTGGCCATGAACACATTCAGAACACCTCGAGTGAGAGCAGCCACACCTAGCCTGTCTCCCTCACTCCAACATCTTACTCGCCAACATTGTTCCTCCCATCATATTGTTATAGTTCTTATTACACGTGTTCTATATACCTATCTACATGTTTTATTTACCAGAACTATGCAAGTAAGCCGGTATTGTGTCCAAACAGTACAGTGGCCACCATACACTGCATGAAAAATCACACAGCAGACGACGCTACGATTACGTCACCTCCCTCACCAAAATAGCTCCTCTCAACATTCTCCTGTTGCTGTTCTTACACTATATACACACACACTATATATACCCATGTACATATGTGTTGCCCATAGCGAACCACTAACCTAGTATGGTGAGCAAAACAAGAGTGGCAGCCACACACACAATGAGGCTACCTCAATTCTCGCCCTCCCTCCCTCATCAAAATTCCTCCTTCCACAATACTACGCACAACGCTAATTATAACCACAATCCTGCTATTATCACAATCCTGGTCACTAATTCCTGTAAATGAATAATTGACCACACGTTTATTTTGAAAAGGAACCTAAGAAATCATTTGAAGATTCCTAGATGAACGAAATAATGCTGTGGTGCTGTGGCTAGCGCTGTGAACATCGTGAACAGCATTGAATCACTGATATTTGAACATTGTACCCAGTCATTATCACACTCATTCTCTAATATAACACTATCATAGCTAAATAATACAAGTTATATATATATTTTGACATTATTAGGCGATGCTGTGGTCACATGCTGAACAGCAGTGCTGTGCGCTCATGCTGCGAGCGCCAGCCTTGGTTGCTCACACACTACTGAGGCTCCCACACCCGGGAATGTGGACCACGATTTTTTTTAAAGATGGCGTCTGTTTACAAGAGCCCTGAGGAAGCTGATGTGAACCCCATGTAGCCGCGGGAGTTTTGAATGGAACGTGAAAAATACAAATACCCGGAGGCGCGTTGCGCAAACCAGACGTGAGCCTGCAGGCGCGTTGCGCAGTTTAAGGGTTAATTTGTTTTTCCATTAATTTTATTATCATATATGGTAAATTATATAATGTACATTATGTTGTAAAAGTTCTAAACATGTTCTAATATATTAGGGGAAATGCACCAAACATTGCAGCAGGAAGCCAAAGCTGCAGCTACTAACATGTTCTGAAGGGCAGAGAACCGAGGTACACACCTGGAGAGTGGGGTGGCTGCACACCATGGGAGGGAGGCATCGACTGATGATGTGGTGCACTTGACTTGTGCTCTGGAGTTCCTCCTGGAGACCCTCCTTCAGGACTTTGTAGCTTAGTGGGAACCTCATCCAGTTCTAACTCTCTGGCTGCCCCCTGTAAAATACCAATATTTAAATTTTATAAAGACTCCTCTTTAATACTATCAGTTGGGTACCAGTTAGGTACTTCTAGAATCCTTTCTTATTTTGAGCAAGGAAAACTATGGAACCTCGTAGCATAGCCAGCAGGGCAAAGACCCAAATTTCAAAGAAGCAGGGTCCATCAGAGGAAAAATCTGGGTCACACAGGAGGTATTTAAAGAGATGCATGTTAGTGGCTTTTAAGAATGTAAATAACTAGTGCTGAATGTAATGAAATGCCATTTTCTGGGTAAGCCCTGGAGGCTTCCTGAAGCTATCTGAACTGATATGTGTTATATTAGTTTGGGGTCATCAGTCACAGGAGTTCTTATGTCTACCGGGGACCACGAGCCAGAACCTGGTCCTATCAGAGAGGCACAGGGAGCAATGACCTATGAGCACTTTACATTTAACCCTTAAAGTGCACATCACGTCATATGACGTGTTGGACGTTGTTCCAGTCAACTGCGCATCAGGTCATATGATGTGTTGGAGTACTACGCAAGATTTAAACGGCCCGCGGATACACTGGGTTCACCACACCTTCATCAGGGCTCTTGTAAACAGATGCCATTTTTTAAAAAAATCGTGGGCCAAACTCTCGGGTGTTATTGGCCTCAGTATTGAGTGAGCAACCAAGCCTGACGCACGCAGCATGAGCTAACAGCACTGCTGTTCAGCTTGTGACCACAGCATCGCCTAAATATGCCAAAATATACTTGTTCATGCTATTATGTAGCGATGATATTATTACAGAAGACCCCTGACTGTGATAAAACTGACCAGGGTTCTGATAATAGCAGGATTGTGATGATATTTAGTGCTGTGCGCCATGGAGGGAGGAGTAATGCTGTGGGAGGGAGGCTGGTGGCGATGTCTTCTGACTGTGTGTGGCCACCTTTTATTGACTGCACTCAGCATACCAGCTTAGTGGTTTGCTATGGTGAACACAAATGTTGATATTTATATATAACGTGTGTATAGAGGGTATAAACAGCAAGAGAAGGTTTGGAGCCGCCATTTTGGTGAGGGCGGTGGCGTCGTGCAGACGACGCCACCGTGCAGACGACGGTGTTGTTTACTGGTTACCATGATGGTCTTTGGGTACCATACCAGTTTATTTGTACAAGTATGGTGAATAAAATGGGTAGATATTTATATATAATGTGTGTATATAGCATAATAACACCACACAGTATTGTTGGAGGAGAAATATTAGTGCGTCTGACCTTGAGGGCGGCAGCCGTCAGCTGACTGTGTGAGGTCCTACTCTTTGTGCCTTTACTCACCATACAAGCTTAGATGTACAGTTATGGTGAACAAAACATGTAGATACTTATATATAACGTCTGTATATAAGATATATAGCGTAATAACACCACACAGTATTGTTGGAGGAGAAATATTAGTGCGTCTGACCTTGAGGGCGGCAGCCATCAGCTGTGTGAGGTCCTACTCTTTGTGCCTTTATTCACCATACAAGCTTAGATGTACAGTTATGGTGAACAAAACATGTAGATACTTATATATAATGTCTGTATATAGTGAATTATAGAAAAAACAGTATTGTGGGAGGAGAATGTGGGTGAGTCAGATGACTGGAGGGAGGGCGGGAGTGGCTGGCTGGTACACGGCGGTCACTCCTCATTACTTTTTGACTCATAATAGCTACTTAGTGGTTCGTTATAGTGAACAAAACATGCAGATACTTATATATAACCTGTGCTTATAGTGTAATAACTGACAAAGTATTTGTTCACTGATTGATGAACATAATTGAATCAACAATATGCACACCATATTTTTGAGTACAGCAATGATTCACTCATTTTATTATATAAATATATCAAACTACACACTATTGAATAATATTACAGCAAAAAAACTATGAAAAATCAATCAGAGACATTGAAATAATTAGGTAATTATCTCTTTGTGGCAACTCCGGCCTGACAGCTGGCAAGCAACAGACCGCCTGGGACGCATGCTGAGTCAGTGCCTATAATTTGCCAGACTTCCCCGCCCTATAGCGGGCAATATATGCCTCTTACGATTTTTTTATTATTTTTCCCGTGATCAGTGAATACAAATTAACAGGTTAGGAAGAAAAAATAATTATTTTTTTTTAAAATGACATGCACCAGTGGGGATGACAGGATATTAAACCCCGAGCATGTTAAGGGTTAAAGTACATATGTCATAATTGCCACCGAACAGGGAAGGACCCAGAAAGGTAGACGAATCAAAACAGAACTCTGTCTGGTAAATCTGTGCAATCTACATCTTAAAAGATCAAAATAACTCCCCTAGAAAGAAACCCAACAAGCAACACTTTATGCAACTATCTGGCTAGACTTCATGACACTGTGGAAAACCTGAGACACAAGAGCCCTGGAACAGGGAACAAAGGAAACTGGAACCACCTAGAAAGCGTTCACCAGCACAGAACCTGTGGCCTGCAGGTAGTGGCGTAAAGTCGCCATCGGACACAACACGTGACACACATCATGTAGGGAATAGGAAAGTAGGCAGTGGACACAGGAGGCTAGACACTGGATACTGAATGGGAGATGAAGTACTTCATGCAACGGACAGAGAGAAAGATCTAGGAGTTGATATCACACCAAACCTGTCTCCTGAAGCCCACATAAAAAGAATTACATCTGCGGCATACGCGAGGCTGGCTAACTTCAGAACAGCCTTCAGGAACCTGTGTAAGGAATCATTCAGAACCTTATATACCGCATATGAAAGACCAATCCTGGAGTATGCAACCCCAGCATGGCGCCCGTACCTTGTCAAGCACAAGACGAAGCTGGAAAAAGTTCAGAGGTATACCACTAAGCTAGTCCCAGAACTAAGAGTCATGAATTACGAGGAAAGGCTGTGTGAGATGCACCTCACGACACTGGAAGACAGAAGAGCAAGGAGAGACATCATCACTACCTACAAAATTCTCAGAGGAATTGAAAGGGTAGATAAGGATAAACTTTTTAACACGGGTAGTATGCGAACAAGGGGGACACAGGTGGAGACTGAGTACTCAAATGAGCCATAGGGACATTAGAAAGAACTTTTTCAGTGTCAGTAGTTAACAAGTGGAATGCATTAGGCAGTGATGTGGTGGAGGCTGACTCCATATACAGTTTCAAATGTAGATATGATAGAGCCCAGTAGGCTTAAGAATCTGTACATCAGTTGATTAACAGTTGAGAGGCGGAAACAAAAAGCCAGAGCTCAATCCCCACAAGCACAACTAGGTGAGTACAACTAAGTGAGTACACCCCTGGCCTAACCAACCAAGCATCCACAACCAATGGACCCCCCTCCGGAAGCCAGCCATCTTATTCCATGCCAAAAAAGAAGACAACAAACAAAACGGCCATCTGGACAAAACTAACAGAACCTCGGCGTCGGGGTAGAGCATGAAGCTCCCTAACCCACCCCCAGAGGCAAAGGCCAACAAAAACAAGGCCTTCCAGAAGCATTCCTGAACTGAAGGGGCCACAACAAAGCGAAGAGAAGAATGAAAAGAAATATCGCATTCCAAAGATCAAGAGGCTCAGGCAGCGCATGAGCAGGCTGGAGGTGAAAAAACGCTCGAGAAAGCTAGCGGAACAGACCAGAAGTAACATCCACCCTGAATGCAAGCGGCAGCAGCTCCACCAACGCCGCGCGATACGAAACGACAGTAATAGGCATGAGATGCAGACCCAGAAAAAGCCAAAAGAGAATGGACAAAACACTCTGGTCCGAAAACGACGAAAACTGACGAAGAGTAAGAAAATGACGGAAAAACCGCCAAGAAACTTCATCCTGTCACTAAGAAAAAGGTCGCAGATGAAACAACATAAAAGAAGCCATCTGATCACCATAGAAATGACGACACACACGCGTCAGAAAGACCAGACACGTAGCGCGGAGCAGGAAGGGAAACCAGTAAGGTACCTCTCTGTCACGACCTCCTGAAAGAGGCGGAACTGCGGAAAACCACCCTGGTTCAGACATCAAGCAAGCAGCTCCTGAAACCAAGGCTGGGCTGACCACCATGGAGCCAGGAGAACCATTCACCCCCAATATGAATCCAGCCAAGCCAGAGCCCAGAGCAATAGCTGGACCTGGAGGAAGAGGGACAGGAACCCCCACCTCGACTAGTCCTGCTGAAAAGCATCTACCGCAAGGGCATCGTAGTCGGGGAACGGCACCACATACCATGGGATGCCGAGACCATGCCGAAACGAAGAAGTCCACCACCGGGTGCCGGTATGTCCAACAAAGCCAAAGGAAGGAGACGAAGTCAACTGTCAACTCCATGAAAAGAGGAATAAAGTGCGACAGGCCATCTGCCAGGACAATGAACACACCCTGAATGTTAATGGCATGAAGAACTAAACCCCAAGAACTCAGCAGAAGGGCTACCCTAAGCAACGAGTCCCGAAGCCATGAACTGAAGAGACCCCCCCCCCTCCCGGTTGAGACAATGAATCACGGGGAGCAGTCCAAATGGAGCTGGATCATCGAACTCCGAGGAAGCCGAAACCGTCACAGCACCTGTCACACAGCCGCAAACTCTCACTCCGTGCTGTCAGCTCGAAGGAAGGACAGCGCCCAACGCCCTTGGCCGGTTTGGTGAGCGCTGGTCACAAAGCCCCAACCAAGAGATGAGACGTTTGTTAACACATCGAGCGCGGGGAAAGAGGAAGGCAGTTAACCCCCAAAACCTGAAGAGGAAGCTGGAGATACAGCAATCAACGCAAGGACACCCTGGAATGAACCCAGCGATCGCAAGCTCGGTGATGCTGGATAAACCAGCATGGCAAGGTTCAGGCTTCCGCACAGCTTCTTGAGCAACCGTTGAGTGATTCGAGTCCCTTTCAAAAACAGTTGAAACATTCAACTTCAATGACTGAATGATAAACATTCAACTACCCGGTAGCCATATGCAACAGTGGGTAACAACAAACCACAGCTGTGGGATGGTGCGCCACGACTGGAGCGGGGCCCTGGTAACCAGTTGTGGCAGCTCAAACTGTATAGCAAAATTCTTGCCAAAAATATAAACAATGAAACCGCTGATCTGAGAGGAGGGAACAGCAGGGGTACCAAAAGCACCGGAAAATAACGTGCAATAAATGTATGATGAACTAAACAAAAAGGCTTTATACAGTATTAATATATACATACACTGTATATATATTTTTTTCCCAGGACAAAACATACAACCAAAAGATAGATGTGCCCGACGTGACGGTGAGTAAATCATAATGGCAAATACGGTAATATTAATTCAGAAATGGAAGGAGAGGGACAAAAACCCCTCCCCTGCAGCAACACCCCCTGCTCAGAAGGCACATAGGCTCAAGAAGGAGCAAAAGGAGCACAAGCGCTCAAAGTGGACTTCCCCCAAGCCCCGGGAACCCCTGACAAAGGCACCAGGGCAGAGCCCTCTTCCACGTCCACCACCTCTGAAGGAAAGGCGGCATCCAGAGAAAAAGCTTCCAAGAAGCGAGTCTGCTGGGTTGACCCAGAAGCCTCGGCAGAAAAATCGGGGTCAACCGCCTCCGTGCCCAAATCGGAAGTGGCAGCCCCAAAGCCACCTGAGCTATACCCCACCCCGACCCCGAAACCCTGAGACATTCAGGAGCCGGAAGCAGGGAAGAAGGAGCAGGGCGAACCATGCTTACCTGGGAAGGAAGCAGGGGTGCGGAAGGAACCAAGGTCGAAGCAACCGACACCCCCGTATCCTGGACTCTAAAACCCAAGCGGGGCAGCTCTGAGGCCTCCAACTGAGTAACCAACCTGGCTCGTTGCAGTAAGGAGAATTTGCGGCATACGATTCCCGAATGCCGCAGGGAAGATAAGAAGATAACAAGAGCAGTACTCACGGAGCACCTAGGGAAGGTCATCCTAGCCACCTACTTCTGATTCGCCTACCTTTCTGGGTAGTCGATGGCAATTGTGACGTACTTTAAATGCAAAGTGCTCACAGGCCATTGCTCCCTGCGCCTCTCTGAGGGGGCCAGGTTCTGGCTCATGGTCCCCGATAGGCATAAGGATTCCTGTGACTGATGACCCCAAAGAAATATAGCACGTATCAGTTCAGATAGCTTCAGGGAGCTGACGGGGCTCCCCAAAGAAATACAATGGAACCTCAGTTGCCGAATGTCCCTCTTTACAAATTTTTTGGGTTATGAGCTCAATTTCTCTGTAAAATTTGAATCGGTTTATGAGCTTTGCCTTACTTTGCGAGTTTGTTGATACACGAATGGGTCAACCAAGTGTGTGGTTCCTGGTGGCACAGGCGACCATGCTTCAGTTTACCAGTGCCTCCCACCTAGTGACAATTGCACTTAAATTCTTTGTAAAGAATTTAATTGTTTTTCAGTTTTTTTTTATTTTTAAACATAAAAGTAACTATTATATACCACGCCATGGATCCCAAGAAATTCAGTGGTAAGGTTCAACTTACGAAAACCCATGTGAGGATGACCATCGAAGAAAACAAGTCTCTATGGAAAGGTTCTTAGTGAGACAAACAAGCAGTGAGCCACAACCAGGTGGCTCACATTTTGGTGGTATGCAGGCAAAATGTAGGAGAGAGAGTACCCCAGAGAAGTGATCACTGTTATAATGGAAGGGGACTTCCCTTCCAAACACTAACACCTCTCCTCCTGCCCCCTTCCTCACTGTCTTCCATACGCCAACAAGAGTCATCAATAAAGGTAAGCTATAATTTGTACATACTAAAGTAAAAAATATTTGTGTGTATTATGTATGAAATGTGTTTTGAAGTTAATATTTTAGGGAGTGTGGAATGGATTAATTCAATTTATATTATTTCTTATGGGTAAATTAGTTTCAGTTTGCGAATTTTGGGTTTACGAACCGTCTCTGGGAACGGATTAAATTTAAAAACCAAGGTCCCACTGTACCAACATTATGTAATCTCAAACCCATTGTACCTTTTTGTAAATAAATTATCATTATTATTATTATTATAGATCTGCCTGAGTCACCGAAGACGGGATCCAAAGGAAGGCAACCTCCAGAAGGGCATATCCAACAGTACGTAAGATGAATGCAAAAATGCGAAAAATGAACTCTGGGGGAAGCTGGAGAAAGAACAAAACAAAAGATGAAAGATGAAACTCCAGGCAACCCATTCTGGCAAGGGGGGTTATTGCTAATGAGCTCATGTTAGTTTTGAAAAATCTATCATTTGCTTACAATGTTTGAGGAGTTCGTTTGGCAGTTTTGAGGCTTTGGTCTCTATGAACCCAGCAGTGGTCTATATTGTTTCACTGATTTTCTGGATGCTTTTCTGGTAGGGTAGCAGTGTTTCCCACTGTCTGTGCCTCAATGATGGGGTACCAAGGTTCTGGCTCTGGTCCTAGGTAGCCCAGACAGAATTCCACGAATGATGTAACTTAGTTATATAACTTACCCAAGACAATCACCAGGAACAGAAAAGTGGAGTCTAGGGGTGAAGCGTCAAAAGAGTGGGGAGCTGGCTGAAACGAAAACCTCAGAGCATCAGAGGGACTAGCCAGCTCAACTGCCTCCGCACCCAATTTTGAAGAGGTTGAGTCACATCTTGAGCTAAACTCTACCCTAACCAAGAAACCATCAGACATTTCAGGGCTAGATGCAGGGGAGGAGAAACAGAAGGGTGAACCACACCCAAAGGAGAAGGAAGAGGAGGTGTGGACAGAGCCAAGGTGGAGCTCACCAATACCGCCAATTCCAGGTCCCTAAATATCAGACAGGACAGCTCCAGGGAATCCAACCAGGCACATAACCTAGACCCCTGTAATTGAGCAAAGTGAACTCACAAAGCAGAAGCCAGCCACTTGATAACCTTAACCTCATCAGGAGGGTCAGAAAGAAGTCACACAGGAAGAGCAAAACCCACAGGACTCGGGGTCAAAAGTGTCACCAACCCAACAGGTAGGATGGCAGAGGCAGAACTAGTGATCGTCATCACATGGCTCTTATTGTCATCAGAGAGCAGGTTTGAAGGAACCACTGAACCTGCAGGAGATTCCCAGGGCCTGAAGAGTAAACCAAGCAGGCACTGGGGATGCTACACTAGACCTAAAAGTAAGCCAACACAGTGAAGGCTGACCTCTGTGCGCTGAACAGAAGCCTGAGAATCACCAGTGTGCTCTACCAAAGTCGCACCCAATTCGGGTTAAGACAGAAAAGCCACAAGACCCCTGACTCAACATGGGCGAGGGCCACCGTAAGTAAAAGCAGAGTTGTTTGGCAGTTTCAAGGCTTCGAGTTTTGTGAACCCTGCTGTTGTTTGTAAAGCTTTGCCGACTTTCTGGATGCTTTTCCGGTGAAATTGTAGAATGTCATTTGGTCTCTGCACCTCAGAAAGGGCACCAAGTTCTAACTCTGGTCACTAATAGGCTATTAGTAACTCCTAGTGCTGACCTGACTCATATGTTTGTGGAACTCTCTTAGTGGTCTTCAGGGAGTCACCATTCAGCCACTCCAGGAACTGCATGTACAGTTTGTACTGTACTGTATAGTATATTTATCTGAGACAATATGAGACAATATTGTCTCAGTATTGTCTCAAAAAGCAATATTGTTTTCTTCTGCTAGCCTACATATTGTGCTCGAGATAGACCGGGCCCAATCCTGTCAAGCTGCCCAGCGAAGTATTCTTCCCTTATATGATTCTACCTTGTCACTTCTTAATAAAATAGAAGATATTTATTCTTAAAATTTTTGTTTTCACAGAAACTTAATTTTTTTTTTCTAAGACCATGTCTGGTAGCAACAGCAATCAACTTGGAGGTGTTAAGAAGAAGCCAGTTAAGCTATCTTAATCACTTGTAGCTTACAAGTGATTAAACTTAGAGAAAATGGTAATTCATTTTTTGCAATACTGTTAAGAAATTTGGCTAAGTTGAATGTTTGGGTAAGTCAAACGAGGGTGGGCCCTGTATGATATTGATTACTGAGCACAGACGGCATATCATGTTTTATAATTGGAAGGATAATAGCACAGTATATACATACTAGTATATACATATTTTTAATAAACTAAGTTTGTGCAATGAATGCCTTCCCTTAAACTGCACCAGTTTCTTTGTATATAATAGTGCCATTCCCATTCCAAGAATTCTCAAGATGATGGTTTAATTAATTGTTGTCTGATTACTGTTTTATTATTACTATTTCATCATCTTCATTAACTATGTATCTAGGCATTAACATATCATTTGGAGAAAACTTTTATGAATGTTGGCACACAGTATTTCATTTAACCTTGCAATCTCAAAATGGCTAAATTATCATCCAACAATATAATGAATTTTATATTGTTTAAAGTTTTCCTTATACTGTACATATAAATAATACTCATAATCTTATTGGTACACAAAGATCAATTAAATATACACAATGAGGTTGAATATATTAATAACTAGAAAAGGAATAAAGCTTCAGCCCAATGCCACATAAAGTGTGACAAACAGGCAGCTGATTATTGACTCACTTGAGTGCGGTGTTCTGCATACCCGTGGTGGCCAACAGCCCCATGACTGGTGCCCTCTGCCGCATCTGCATCACACTCTACCATGCCTTCTGCATCCAAGTGCTGTGAGAAGCAGGTTTGAGGGAAGGATCAGAAGGGGTTAGTGAACAGAGGTGGGAAGTGGTGGCAGCAACATAAACAGTACTTCTAGTTGCACACACACACACTGGCTACATTTACAGTTTTCATGCTGCTATGTGTATCACTCTTGCCAGTGCCATCACTCACAACAAGCACCTATATCAATTGAGTTTAAAAATACTTTTAACTACAACCTATTGTTATATTCAAAAAGGATAAACATACACTGCAGAGTGAACCTATCCAAATCCTTAAATGAATGTAGGTCAATATGTAAAGACTAAAATATTTGGTCCCCTCGTGTTTAACAAATAATAAAAAAGTATATATGGGTCAATGACCCAAATATTGCAACAGCATATAATAATGAAACAATTATTCAACATGTCAGTGAATAGATTCACTAACGATAATGATAAATATATTTAAGGCCTATTAGTACCTAGTCTTTCCCAAATTACAAGAGCAGAATGGAATGGACATTCATCCATAACATTTTCATTAGGCAACATTGTTATACATTCCAATGCCAATAAACCAGCGCTGAATGTAATGAAACGCCATTTTCTGGGTGAGTCAAGGAGGCTCCCAGGAGCTATCCAGGCTGAATGGATATGTATAACTTTCTGGCATCAGTCAATACATGGAGTTCTTGCCTACCAGGGACCACGAGCCAGAACGTGCCAGAACTAGAGAGGCATGAAGAGCAATGTCCTATAGAGACCCCCCTTATGATTGGGTGCATTCTATGTCTGCCATCGACCGGGATAGGCACCCAGAAAGGTAGGCGCCCCAAAATAAACCCCTATTTTGGTAAAACTATTGCGATCAAAGACCAAACAAGTGGACAGAATGCCCCAAACGAAAACTAGCAAACGAGCATGACGTCATCACGTTGCCGCACCGCTGTCTGCGCAACTCCCCTCCCCGGGAAGGGGAAGGGGCAGCCCCAGACCTTAATTGCCGGCGATCCACCCTACAGTTCTTAGGCTGGATGTCAAAAATGCGAAAAACACTGCCAACCGGAGGGAGGGAGGGGACGGAAACCGGGGAGCCTCCGGGACTCACTCAGAAAATGGCGTTTCATTACATTCAACGCTGGTTTTCTGGGGAAAGCCTCGTCGGCTCCCCGGAGCTAACTACCCAAATATAAGAAAAAACAGGGACTTACCCGGAAGGCAGTCTATCCTCACTCCTCAACGCGAAGTCGAGACAACTGGCTGCAACCGCCGACCCAATGCAACGCAGGCCCGCCTAGGCCCAGGAACATTCAACAGGTAGCGAGCAGCCAGGACCCTGTTTGACCTCCAAAAACCCCCGGCCCGAATGTCCACCCATGACATGTTGCCAAAGACGGCAGCCAAGGCAACAAACTTACGAACGTCGTGGGCCCGGGGATAGACCGCAGGCTGGCTAGATTTAATAACCCTGCGGACAACCTCAGAGACCCGATCCAGGGAACAGGGAAGAAGGGAAACTGGGTCCACCCAGAGCACATCCCCAGCAACCGAAGCCGTGGCACGCAAATAACAGCGGAGAGCCGCAACCGGACACAACACATGATGCACACCGGCCTGACCAACCAAGCATAAACAACCAAAGGCCCCCTCCAGAAGGCAGTCATCTCATTCTTTGCCAGAAAAGAGAGAGAGACGGCTACAAATGAACAACCACCGGGACCAAAGGAGCAGAAACCCCTGCTCCGGAGGAGAACATGAAGCTCCCCAACTCGATCCCCAGAGGTCAATGCCAAAAGGAAAAGCGCCTTAGAAAAACAATCCCGAATGGAAGGAGCCACAACAAACCGAGGAGAAGAGAGAAACGAGAGCACGCAGTCCAAGGACCAGGACGGCTCAGGCGGCGCATGAGCAGGCCAGAGGTGAAACAACGCATGAGACAGCTTGTGAAATGGGGCAGAAGTAACATCAACACCGAAAGCAAGCTGAAGCGGCTCCGCCAACGCCGCACGATACGAGGCGACAGTATTAGGCATAAGATGACGGTCCTGAAACAACCAGGAGAGAAAGGACAGAACAACCCTATCAGAGACCGAAGAATACCTACACAGTGATAGGAAAAACCAGAAGGGCCGCCAAGAAACTTCATACTACTGCTGAGACGAAGCACACAGGTGGGAGACCAACAACGAAGCCACCTGCGCACCATACAAGTGATGATAAGCCCGAGTCAAAAACACCAGAAATGAAGACTCGAGGAGAAGACCGAACCAGCCTCGTACTGGGCTGGACCGATCTGCTGAAGAGGCGGAGCCGCAGAAAGACCCTCGGGTTCGGACACCGAGCAAGCAGCGCCTGAAACCAAGGCTGGGCCGGCCACCATGGAGCCAGAAGGACAACCCGACCCTGGTAAGTCTCCAAGCAAGCCAGGACCTGGAGCAACAGCTGAACCGGGGGAAAGCGGTAGAGGTAATTCCACCTCGTCCAGTCCTGCCTAAAGGCGTCGACTCCGACGGCCTGGCAGTCGTGGAAGGGTGCCACGTATACTGGGAGACGCCTCGACAATGCCGACGCAAAGAGATCCATGTCCGGAGTCCCGAACGCCCAGCACAGCCAACTGAAGGAGTCGGCATCAACCATTCATTCCGTGGAAAGGGAAAAAAAACGGGACAGGCCGTCCGCCAGGATGTTGGACACCCCCCAGACATAAACCGCCAAGAAAGCCAAACCCCGAGAACTCAGCAGACAAGTCATTCGAAGCGACCAGACTAAAAGAGCCAAGGACTGCATCAAACCCCCACAGTTCAGACAATGAACCACCGGAGTAGTCCGAATGGAGCCGGATCGTCGATCCGCAGGCGACTCGAACCCTCCGGAGCGACATCCACACCACCGCGAACTTCCGGACCGTGCTGTGAGCCCGACGGAAGGACGGACCCCACCGCTCCTGGCCGTCCTGGTGAGCACTGGTCACAAAACCCCAGCCAAGTGACGACGCATCCATGCACACGTCGAGTAAGGGCTTGGGTAGGTGCCAAGGCATTGAACCCCGAAGAGAAAGCCGGCGACGCAGCAACCGACACAAAGCCCTCGGGGACCGAACACAACGATAGCGAGAGAGGCGGAAGAGCCGTCCCCGAAGGAACCAGAACAGCCGACGAAGCCACACCCGATCCGGTGGGTAGACCATCATGGCGAAGTTCAGGCTCCCGCACAAACTCTCGAGCAACCACCGCGTGACCTGAGAATCCCTCAGAAACAGGCGAAGGTGGGACCGCAGATGAAGCAGAGTCGCGGAGGCAGAGACAAGGAAGCGGTGCGAGCGTCCCACAGCAGACCCAGCCAAGACCGAACCTGAGAGGGAACCAGATGGGACTTCCTCCAGTTCACCAAGAACCCGAACCCGGCGAGCTGGGAAAGAACCAAATCCCTGGCGAGCAGACACGTGGACCGGCTGGGAGCCCAAACCAGCCAGTCGTCGAGGTAGGCCAGAACCCGAATACTTAACAGACGCAGGAGGGCCACTACGACCCAAGTAAAGTGAGTAAAAACGTGAGTAAAAACGGGGTCTTCATATCCCCACTAGGGATACGAAGACCCAAACTTGAACAAAGACGGATCCATAACAAAGGCATACTCTGGGTCACGTAGGACGTAAGCCGCAAGGGCCGCCCGCACTGCAGGAGGTTGGATACAGAAAGCCAAAAACTCTGAAAAATCGGAACCGACGCACCCGGGGGGACATGGAACCGAACCCGGGGAGCAGCAGACAATCTATCCAATTCATATGCAGAGGGGGGGGGGGGGGGGGGGTTAGAAAACACTCCTTGTAACAGTAAGCCCCGCTTAGAGGGCAGAAAAACCCAGGCGAGGTCCAGCGGGGCCCAGAGCCCCCATGTCAGCCCCTCCCCAGCCCCAAGGTCCTCCTCCGCAGGACCCGGGGCCGAGACATCACCCAAAGCACCGGCCTCAAAAGAAAAGTCCGGTACAGCAGTGTAAGCCGAACGGAAAGGGGCCCACTGGTCAGACCCGGAGGCTTCAGCAGGGAGATCGGACACGAATGCCTCTGTCACCACACCGGAAGGGGCATTCCCCGAGACTGCCCGAGTCACAAGACCATCTAAATCCTGCTCCGGCTCCTCCGACGTTTCAGGGCCGGAAGCGGGGGAGGGCAGGGGGGGGGGGGGACTAGAACGGACCAGAACAAACCACAGCAGGGAAAGGACAAGGGGGCGCGGACTGATCCGAAGCCGAAGCAATCACCACTCCCAAGTCCTTATAAGCAAAACGGGGCAGCCTCGGGCATCCAGGTGAGCAACCAACCTAGCGCGTTGCAACAACCTAAAGCGCGCATGCAACTCTCTAGAGCTGAACCCTAGGGACATGTAGACTCACGGGATCTAGCAAGGGGTACCACCAGAAGATAGAAGCATACTCAGGTCAGGTGCAATAGGGGGCAACAATCAAGGCAGACCCCTCACCAGGTAACACAATAAAAGTAAAAATAAAACCCCGCAAGAGAACAACGTACCCAAAAGGAACAGAGCCGGCTGCTATGAATGGTGAAAACAGAAAACATGCTGTGCAGCACCCTGCGCCCCTTACCAGTGTAAACTGCCTCTTACCCTCTGGGGAGCCAGTTGGCCGAGCGGACAGCACGCTGGACTTGTGATCCTGTGGTCCTGGGTTCGATCCCAGGCGCCGGTGAGAAACAATGGGCAGAGTTTCTTTCACCCTATGCCCCTGTTACCTAGCAGTAAAATAGGTACCTGGGAGTTAGTCAGCTGTCATGGGCTGCTTCCTGGGGGGTGGAGGCCTGGTCGAGGACCGGGCCGCGGGGACACTAAAAAGCCCCGAAATCATCTCAAGATAAGATACCCTAAAGTAAAGGAGGGAGACAAAACACCCAAGCACCCAAAGAGCGGCCGAAAAACCGAGCAGTAAAACGGCCCAGCAGAAGCAGGACCCAAGGAACTTGTGGAAGATGGCCCCAAGCCCCAAGGGCAGTACTCACAGGGCACCTAG